ACACACACAATTTTTTTTTTTTAAAGTTGTTTAAACGAAGTAGCAGTCATTTTCTGTTTACAAAGATCTAGATTTACAGTCAAGATCTCGCTGCTACAATGAGGAGGATCATTCTATGAACGCAGCACAATGACAAGATCTAGATTTGTGTAACGAGACTCATTCATACTCTGATAACACAGCCCTATAGTGAAATGATCATTTATTTGAGTTCATACCAGCATAAAGAAGTAGACTGAATAATATAGAGTGTCAATGAACAATGTAGTGAAGAATGCATCTAACTTTTTAAATTTTTTGCTCCTTTCACTCAACTTCTTCAACTTTTGGTCTCGTTTTGGCATGGTGTCGATCTTGGTCAAATTAATAAAACTACAGTAACTCCGTGAACAGACACACAAGAAAAACTTCAAGACTCAAGAGTTACAGTTCTTGGCCGTTTCCAAGAAATCCTCTGTACAGCGGTCTTCATTCAAAATTTGCATCTCCTCTCCTTTGGGTCCTCTAAATTAGCTAAAATATTTTTACACGAACATTTGTAATTTCAGCACCCAAAATTATTGTAGAACCATATTATTCAAACCAAAGTATCCTTATTCTAACAAATATTACAAACGATCGGTCGAAGGTCGGAGCTGGCGAGGAGGGCACAAGACGAGGCCAAAGATGTAGGGTATAGAAATAGTAACTTTGACGAGGCTACATCATAGAGCTGATAAAAATGCTTCACTTCGTGAGACTTCGCTCACCGCCGGATCAGTCGGAAGGTCGGAGCTGGCAAGGAGGGCACTAGACGAGGTGCGAGACCGAACTGCCGATATCCATTCCTCTGCCTCCCCCCCCCCCCCCCCTCTCTCTCTCTCTCTCTCTCTCTCTCTCTCTCTCTCTCTCTCTCTCTCTCCCCCCCTCCCTCAAAGACCACATTATTAGGCCTACGGTACTGACTGAATTTATTCAATAGTTGCCACCGCCTTTTATTGTTACCATTTATACTTGTTAGTTGTTTTTTTTAAAACAAAAAACAAGGGCACGGCAAATATTGCCGCGGTTGACCCTTTGATTTTAAAGGCATTACGGCAAATTGCAAAGGCACCAAGGCAAATTGCCACGGTGCCGTGGTCTATTTCAAGCCGTGCAATAAATAAGGATATGAATGTAGTTTTTCAGAGTATATTTAGACCAGTGATCTGGAACACAGCAAAAATTAAAACCCCAAAGCTCAAAAGAGAAAACTGTAACCCACCTCTTTGTCTATTTTTTTTTATCATGGAAAATCTCCAACGTCGAATTCCAAAATTAACATGTTGACCTCAGAAGGATAGCAGTTTGTTGCTAGGGACATAAAAAAAAAAATTACTAACCAAATTATACACAATTTCCAGCACTGTAGATCTAATAATCGTCAAAATTCACAAAGGAAGATTAAAGCCACATAATTTACCTTTAACACTCTCAGCCACTTCCCATCACTATTGCACAGTTCTTCCCCGCTGGCAATAAGGCGACTGTTCTCTGTTGTTATGAATTCAGTGATCACTTCAGAATTTTTTCTGGGGCTCTTTAGGAGTTTCCAAGTTGTTTTCGCAGGTGCCAAATACTCTATTTCTGATGGCACATAACATAAGCAAGACGGAAAAGGTATTTTGTCTCTCAAACTGACAAGACAATCCTGAAGGCATCTGATTTTTGAAATTCTCCTACGAGCAGCAGGTATTCTGGGGTTGTCAAGCATGATGTCCATGAAATCAAACACCAGTTAAAGTCAGTAACTTTTTCTTTCACACATCTGAAATGAAAGATACATCAAGAAAACTTCCGTAATGACAGCAATTATATCAATAATCAGAATATAAAATATTAGTTTTGTTTTTCTTTTCAAATCAGAAGATGAGAAAATATTACTTTTCGATTAGCTTCATGACAACGTGACATCTGCTGGGATCAATAAAAGTTCCTATATATATATATATAAAGTTTCCTAAAATCCCATAGCATCATAAAGGGCCTGTTACTTCTTTGTAAGTCGCTAAGACACCAAAGACTATGGTCTTAGGTCTGTCTGCATCCATGAAAATTTCTTAACTGTTCTATCAGTAACAAGGAAATGGCAGGTGAGGCTTGTGAATGAAGAAGACAGAAAGGTATTGAATACAGAATATTCTTAACTGATTCAGCCCGCAGCGCTGCTCACGGTGGCTGACTGTCTCCTGGTTTTTGACGCAGAGAGACTCTGAGCGGCTGTTATATATATTGCTCCCCTTTCTTCATCTCACTTTTCTCTTTTCTTTTTTTCTTATCACTTACATTTCACCCCTTTTTACTCATGCCTTGAATAGTATTTTTTATTCTGAACATCTATATATGTCACACATAGGGGATATTTCTTTATTAACTTCTTGTGAGACCATCCATGATGTCACGAAGCGGTCAGAAATTATTTGTGTCCAGAGTCAAAATAATCTGCCGGCTGAATCGGTAAATTTCAAAAGGGTTCATAGTAAAAATCAATAGTTTCAAACGCCTCACTCAGACAAGAGTCATGATATTTATTTTGTATGGTTTTGTTTCCAAGATGGAAAGACCAACTGAAAACTTTCATCTATGTTATGGTTGCACGCAATCAACACAGAGTAATCAACCTGGAGGCTGGCTCGTTTATCCAATCACTGTTGTCACCGTTTACACCTATAGTATCCTAACAGCCATCCAAATGTCTTTAGGGCTCAGCACAGGATGAGCCCATTCCCACGTCCTTCAGTAATGAAACTCTTCTTGAAAAAAGGTAGATGAGCGGAAAAAATAACACTGTACTGAGGGCTCACGCTCTCCTAGCCCTGACAATGGGGTGAAAGTTTATGACACACTTTCCCCCCGTGACACAGATACCTACGCGCTCATTGGACATTAATTGTTAGGTGCATTCTACTTTCCACGACTACACGGCCTTGTCCAGCTTATAGAAAGGATACGTTTGAAGTGTTGTGTGTGTATGTTTGTGTTTGTGCCGCTGAGATTTAACAGTTATAAACAGAGCTGTTAAAGTACTTTTTAAAAAGTACTTAAGTACAAATTTAAGTACAATCTAAAAATGTACATAAGTACAGTAAAAGTACTTTCCTATAAAATGTACTTGAGTACAAGTACTTTTTAAAAAAGTGCTTACGAGTACATTTTAAGTACTTTCTGCTAATATGCTAAAACACTTCAGCGCTTATACAAAACATCATATTTTATAACTTATCCAGCATATTTGACAAATTAGGCTATTTATTACTAAAAATGTAAACAGTATACAAAGCATTTGAATATACAATGTACGCACTGAACGGTGGAAATGGTCCGTGAAGTTGAACAAAAAACAACCCAAACGAACAGACGCAACTAGTGGGTATAGTGCTATTATGAATAGAACTTGTTTGAGCAAGACAATGTGATCAAATGTAAGTCAGTCCTAGAGGTTGGAAAGTTCTACAGAAAGAGTATCCAAATTGAAAAATGTAGATACAAAGTTGCTCTTAAGAAAACATAAAATTGATGAAAATGGCCCGCATAGAAATGGAAAAGTGCATTGAATTCTTCATTAACAAATCCTCAAGGAATCAATGTAGCCTTAAGCAAAAACCACCCAAAAAAAGTTTAAAAGAAATTTAGACAGCCTAAAAATTGTTAGATACACATTGAGAACACAGTTTCAGTTTCAATTGATTATAGTGGTCTGACAGATTTTGGTCACACTGTGTAGTCCACGGCGCCAACGGCAAACCAAAATACAATAGTTTCCTAGAGTCTAGTAAGTGTAGTGTAACCAAAGATTCTCTACTGAAGTAGTCTCCGCCTAAGATCCCAGTGCTCGGAAGCAAGGAAAATACGGGATCTTAGCCAATGAAGCCAAGGAAGAATCTACAGTGACCCATGAACTGACGTGACCCCTGGGTGGATTTATGACATATGGCAAGCAAAGAGTGGTCAACCTTGATTACCAATCACAGTGGCATGAGGCATGCCATAAATAATATTATATATACACACTCATTAGCCTATCGTGAATCTTGAGATCTTTATCTACGTTTATCCAGTTGCCCCTCCCCTTTACCTGTCCAGCAATTTTAGCTTTCCATCTCTGATTGAGTTCCCCCCCCCCCCCTCCACCTCCTTTGTCGTTACGCACCATTACGATGTGACCACACTAATTAAAATTCAGGTTGTCTCGCAAATTCGGGAAAAACTGCTTTCAATGGTCAGGGAAGAGTTCACAGTTTGATGTGATCCCGCCTGGAGCGAACTTGTAGGCCCTACCCACCCAGGGAGTGATGTAAGTTTAGGTGGTGAGGTCAGATGCGAGTGCGATGTTTGGGGAAAAGAAACGCATCGGTCAGTTCACACCTTGGTGTGATCCCGTCTGGAGCAAACACTGTACCATTTCATGGAGTTTTACAACGCTTGTGATGACATTCACGATAGTGGCTGATCTTTGAGGCGACGGGCCTTTTTTGATCTCAACTTTTAACTCTTGGCGGTTGATCGGGTTTTTGTTCCGTAAATTATGATCAGAAATGCCTGCACATACCCTTTCATTAAGCTACCAAAGTACTCAAAATGTACTTAAAAAGTACTCAAAAGTACTTTTATAAAAAGTATCGGAGTACAGTAAAAGTACTGGTTTCAAAAATGTACCGGAGTACAGTAAAAGTACCGAAAATTGTAACGTAAGTACAAGTACCGGAGTACTTGTACTCCGGAGTACTTGTACTCCGTTACTACCAGCTCTGGTTATAAATCATGTCAAAAGATTTTTACGGTAACTTTTCCATCCAGAAGAATCTAACTTAAAACAAGAGACGGAAGACAAAGGTGACTCTTCTCGTTCGAATGGTTCTCAAAATACCATGGCTCACCGAGAGTAAAGAAAAATCAGAACTGTTTAGGATTTATTGCTTGCTATTTGGTGGTAAAGTCGAAGCATCAGCAACCTGAGCCCCACCCAAATTTTGGTCCACCCACCGCCACTGGTTAAATCTCCCAGTAACAGCTGGAAGGAAATGATACCATAAATGTCCGTTTCTGAGTTGCTTTTAAGATCCTGCTGTTTCAAGAAAACAGAATTTTCACTTCACAAAAGTCACCCTAAGATCCCACTTTCCTGCTCTCTTATCATGTTCTTTCGTCTACTTTCATCTCTCTCTTTCTTCTGGCGCTGTGGCTTCATAAACGGTCAGCGATGCCGACAGCACGCAGGAACTCAACACTTGCCCGGGGGTCCTTAAAAAGTGCTGAAAGTGGGTCACTGAAATGTCCCAGCAAACGGGGTCTGGCACGATAGTTGGCGGGACATCTCAGGAACACATGGCCCATAGTTTCGTCCTCCTCCTTGCAGGCTGAACAGGACGGATCTGGGTTGTCTGTTGGTGCAATTTTGTGGAGATATGATCTCAGCTTGGGTGATTTTCCACCAGTTCTCATTTGGGAGAGCAGCCGGCGGTCCTGTCGTCTGAGCGAGGCTTCAAGCTGGTATAATGGCGGCTGGGCAAACGGGTTTTGCGCGGGTCGATCGGTGGATGACGGCTTTACCTGTCGAGAAATCGATTTGCGTGTCAACCTGGGTAAGCGCTGTTGCTTCTTTGGCGATGCTGTCAACTTCCTCGCTCCCAGCCAGTCCAGCGTGGCCTGGAATCCACTGTAAGTGGATAAAACATTCGGAGCCTTGACAGAGGGTGTGCAGATGCTGCCAGATTGAGCATACCACCTTTTCCGATTAGTTGGTAGGGCCGTATGAGAGGTGCATGACTGCTGACCTGGAATCAGTGTGTATACATGGATGCGCACACTGTTCAGAAGGCTGCCTGCTGTATAATATAGTGCCACAAGCATGTCCAGCGCTGTGTTGAGAGCTACAAGCTCGGCCCTGTAGCTGGAACAATACCGGCCCGCGGGTACACGTTGGTCGAGTTCGGTATCACCCGTCTTGATCAGTATTCCACTGCCTCCATACTCGGTACCATGCTAAGCTGAACCATCAAGTCCAGACTTCTACATCGGGCAGGGGGAGCGATCGAATGGTAGCCTCTCCTGCTTTCCTGATGGCTGGTTCATTAGCACGCTTGCAGTCGAAGACAAGATCGGTGCTACAAGTCACGTTGCATGATGCAGCCGTCCACTGTTGTGTGGGGGGTAAAACAACCAGCTCCTCATGTGGGTACGTATCCAGTTCAGTTTCGGCTACGAGGTTCTGGGCATGCTTTCTCCAGTTCAACTTACCTGTCTGCATGGGCACTGACTTTGTTGTGGAGGCTCTGCGTTGGTTTGTTGCAGGCAGACGCATGGACTTCTCGGGTGAGATGGCAGTCAAGGCATCAGTTCTATGCCTTAGTGGTAAAATGTCTGCTTTGATGAGGAGGCTGTCCACACGAGTATCCTTGGAGCAGCCTGTGATGATTCTTGCTGCTTCATTCTGCTTTCTTTCCAGTTTCTGCAGGTTGGAGGGTTTGGTAAGAGGCATGTAGGCAGGGGCACAATAGTTGATAGCTGACCGACAAGTAGCATAATATATTGGCTTTATGCATTCCTTTGAGGCACCCAAGGTGGTGCCTGTAAGGGCTTTCAATGATCAAAGTCTGCTTGACAGTTTTAGCTCAAGATTCCGGATGTGGGCGTTGGAGGATAGAGTACAATCAAGTGTGACCCCAAGTAAGGTGGGGTTGGAGTTGAAGGTGATGGGGGAGCCTTTGAGCGAGAGTGCTGGTTTTCGCATGGCCTTGTGAGGGCTGGTGGTAAAGAGGCTGCACTCTG